ATATACCACAATACCTGACATATCGTACTGACCACCCTGACGGAAAAGCACATGCCGGTACTGCTGTAATTGTACACCAATCCCTCTCCCATCACGTACTCCCATTACCAATACATGATTTCCTACAGTCCACCGCTATCGTGATAAAAACCTTCTCCTTTCCGGTCACTCTTGCATCAGCGTATTGCCCTCCTAACCGATCCATATCCAATGCCCAATTCAGTTCTCTCCTCGACTCCTTAGGACATCACTTCATCTTGGGTGCAGACCTAAATGCCAAGCACCAACAATGGGGTTCCAGAACCACGAATTCTCGTGGCCGAACTCTGCTGTCTGCACTCAATTCCCAACGTTTTCACCTCCTTTCCCCCAACTCTCCTACCTACTGGCCCACAGATCCCAACCGTAATCCTGATCTTCTTGATTTCTTTATCCACAGCGGCTTAAGTCCCCTCAATTGTTCCATTACACGTCTAAATGAACTTTCCTCTGACCATAGTCCTCTAATCCTTAATGTTTCACTTGAACCTGTTCCCAAACCTTCTCCACCGTCATTCATTAGGGGCCCAGTAAACTGGGACCTTTTCCGCCAAATAATCTCCGATAATATTGATCTCAACATATCCCTCAAAACTCCCGATGACCTTGATAGTGCCGTCAATTCCTTTACTACCACAATCCAACAAGCCGCCTGGACTGCCTCCTTCCCAAAAGACTCCTCCAGAATTCCTATAAAGACCATTCTACCCCAACACCTCCTTAACCTAATCCGCACCAAACGCCGTGCCAGATTATTATGGCAACGTACCCGACATCCTACCGACCGCTGCTCCTATAATTACTACTGCAAACAATTAAAACTGGAATTAGCCACCTTCAGATCACAATCCTTCAACTCCTACCTATCCTCCCTCTCTTCTCGCGACAATTCCCTTTGGAAAACCACAACAAAGATCCTAAATCCTCACCGCATTTCCCATCCTCTCCGACGAGGTGATGGCTCCTGGGCAGCATCTGACGAAGATAAAGCTGAGGAGTTCGCCATTCACCTATCCAATACATTTATTTCACATCCGGAATCCCATCCTGCCCACACCGTAACAGTAGAAGAACTCCTTACATCACCAATCCCACTTTCCTTGCCCCCAAAAGCTATTCATCCTTCCGAAGTAAAATTTCAATTAAAAAAAGTAATCCCCCGTAAAGCTCCTGGACATGATCTCCTTACACCTCAAATCCTTCGACAACTTCCATCCAAAGCAGTCATATTCCTTACATATATCAACAATTGTATCCTACGCACCACACACTTCCCTCTGTTATGGAAACACTCCACTATTATCCTTTTCCCAAAACCAGGAAAACCTCTCAATAGCTCAACATCCTATAGACCAATCAGCCTACTCCCAATCCTTTCAAAAATTTTTGAAAAGATCCTTTTGAAACGAATCCTACCCATTATAGAATCCCAAAATATCCCTTCCCATCAGTTTGGTTTTCGCTCTCAACATTCTACTGTTCAACAAGGACTCCGAGTTGTTGATCATATTTCATCAGCCCTAGAAAACAAGGAATACTGTTCGGGTGCCTTTCTGGACATTGCACAGGCATTTGACCGGGTATGGCACTCCGGACTGCTCTCCAAGCTTAAAATCCATTTACCTCAGTCCTTGTACCTAGTCCTCCGATCCTAACTCTCTGACCGCTCCTTTCGAGTTCGCTGTGGAACAGAATTTTCCAATATCTACTCCGTTAAAGCCGGTGTTCCCCAAGGCAGCGTCTTGGGTCCCGTGCTTTACATCCTCTTTACTGCTGACATCCCTGTTCATCCCGATACTTTTCTTGCAACATTCGCTGACGACACCGCAATCGTATCATCCAACTCTGATCCCGAAATAGCATCCTTAAATCTCCAAAGTCACCTCACCTTGATTGAGCACTGGTGTAATAACTGGCGCATTAAAGTTAATGAATCTAAATGCCAACATATTTCCTTTACACTCCGACGCAATTCCTGTCCACCAGTACTCTTTAATTCCATCCAGCTTCCCTATTCAGACACAGTCCGGTATCTTGGCTTTCATTTAGACCGAAGACTAACTTGGAACCCGCATACTAGACTCAAAAGACAAGAACTCAACCGACGATACGGCCAACTATACCGACTACTAAGCAGAAAATCTAAACTTTCCATTGAAAACAAGCTACTGATCTACAAGACAATACTGAAACCTATTTGGACTTACGGACTAGAACTGTGGGGATCAGCAAAATTTTCTAACATCAAGCGCATCCAATCCTTCCAGTCTAAAGTCCTTCGAACAATAGTCGATGCTCCTTTCTATGTATCCAACAAAACCCTACATCATGACCTTAACATCCCATTTGTCCTAGACCTTATCCCAGAAAAATTCTCCAAATTTCACCAGAACCTTACTTACCACCCAAATCCTCTTGCACAATCCCTATCAAGCATCTCCCATCCCTATAATCCTCCAAGAAGGTTGAAACGGCAGTGGCCTCGCGACCTTTTGTAGATTATATAAATTGGAGTTCTGGCAATGGCCAGATTCTTCACTCAAGACATGTGTGTATGTGGCTAAAGTGCTCTCGACCAATCTCCGCTGGCTTTAGTACCAGTGACGCGGTTGGGAGAGTAGCGCAGGGTTCTCCTGGAGTTCCCTCGCCTGATTGTATATAGGTATGCATGTGTTTTTTTTTTTTTTTTCCTTAGTTTTAATTTTCTTATTTTTTTGGTTATTTTATTTTATTGTCTATTGTATATACTTTTGATTATTATTTTGTTCTATTTATTTTATTTTTTTGTACATATGGTGTGAATGTCATCCTACCTCACTATAACCAATGTCCAACAGACAGATTGTTATAATACTCAATAAAGAAATTAAAAAAAAAAAAAAACTACTACTTAAACTTACTATAACTACTATTTAAAATAAAACTACTTGAGCAAAGTAAAATTTACTGTTTATCTCCAAGTGGAATATGCTGAGCTCCCAAATCAATGTAAAGGTTATTTTTTTTAAAGTGCTATGAAACAAAAATTTATAATCTAGCCCTCTTCGTGTCAGAGAACGTCGTACGTAATATGGCTAAATATGAAGTTTGAACAGTAAAACACTATTCACTAATCGACTATAACCTTTTAAGTGATTTTCATCCATATACGAGATAGTGATGTATGAATCCTATTAAGAAATAATTTTTAGAAAAAATTGTTTTGTTTTAACACTGTTTCAACTGAGGATTTTTCCTGATTTAAAACTTGGGCTACTACTTTTTAATTTTTTTTTTGGTCCAAATCGAACGAACAAAAAATTAGACACCTTGATTTGTGACCTTCTTAATTTGTGACCATATTTATGTACCACTCTTTAATGTAGTGATGATGAATTTCCCATATATTTCTCTTTTCATTAAACAGGTTGCTTAAAATATTAGTTTCCGAAAGAAAGGTCCTTCAGAGGATATTTGGCCCAGTTAAGGAGAATGAGTTGCAACCAAGAACTAGCTAACTTATACACGGAGCAAGAGGTGGGGAAATATACTCGGACTAGTCTGAGATCGGAGGGACAAGATGTACGGATGGACGAGACCTCAATACCAAAGAAGCTGCTGAACATGGAGCCGGTTGGAAAAGGAAAAGTGGACAGACCGAAACGGAGAAGGAAAATGGAGTATGTTCTGATGCCAGAATACGTGGAATTAGGAACTTGTGGAGGCTGCTCAGGAAAGGAAAACTCTTGAGGCAGCCAAGAATCCAGTAATGGATTGTCGAGATCGAGGTGGTGATATTGATCATACTAGAAAATTCGTCTTATTGGATGATTTTTCTTATGTTTCTTTTTTCTTTAAATAGCTGTTTATGGATACTTTTTTTCGGAATTATTTTTCTACCATCCAGATGGCAGAGCGCGCCCCCTGGCAGAAATTACTAGTGCTGGTCACGATGATGACTTTTTTTAATATTAAATTAGATAATTCTTCTATGAGGATGAATTTTTCCTATATTTCTGTTTTCTTTAAATAGCTGTTTATGGATACTTTTTTTCGGAACTATTTATCTACCATCCAGATGGCAGAGCTCGCCCCCTGGTAGAAATTACTAGTGCTGGTCACGATGATGACTTTTTTTTTATATTAAATTAGAAAATTCGTCTATGAGGATGAATTTTTCCTATATTTTTTTTTCTTTAAATAGCTGTTTTTGGATAATTTTTTTTCGGAATTATTTTTCTACCATCCAGAGGGGAGAGCGCACCCCCTGGTAGAAATTACTAGTGCTGGTCACGATGATGACTTTTTTTTATATTAAATTAGAAAATTCGTCTATGAGGATGGATTTTTCCTATATTATTATTTTCTTTAAATAGCTGCTTTTCGGAACTGTTTCTCCACCATCGAGAGGAGAGAGGGGCGCGGCCCCAGCTGGATCCGCTAGTACTGGTCAAGATAATAATTTTTTTTATATCATATTAGAAAATGAATAAAAGAGGATGATGATTCTATATTTCTCCATTCTTTAAATTGTAATTTTTTGGGGATTTTTTTCCGCCATTCAGGGCGCGCCCTGGCAGAAGTTCTAATGCTGGTCACGATCGTAATTTTTTTTTATATTACTTTAGGATATTCATCGTCTATGAGGATGAATTTTCCCTATATTTGCCTTTCCTTTAAATAGATGCTTTTTGAAACTTTTTTTGCAATTTTTTTCAAGGCCCGGCCCCCCGCTCTCCATGGCTGGACCCGATAGTGTACCTCACTATAACCATTGTACATGTTATAGAAAATTACATTACTAAAAAAAAAATGAAATAAAAAAATTATATCAGCTGCAAATATTATTCCAAAATATCTTGGAAGATCTGGGAAACCAAGTGGTTAGAATTTGATCGAAAGTACTCAGTTCCTGCACTCAACAATCTATGTTACCATGATAATCAAACAGGTCCTGAGTAACGGCACTAACACCGGTTATTTCATGAGAAATGAGTAAAATAACCTATTCTAAAATAAAACGATACAGGGATAGGCGACATAACTAGATATGTGACGAACCGGCAGACGTTTTCAATTCCAGCTTGCCCTAGCACAACGACCCGACCACGACAGCTCATGCATACTGATGCCACCTTATCATTTAGATTTAACGCCGCATTCTGCCTCGCTGTGGGGAGAGGAACGGGAGGAGGGGCTAATCTCTTCGACAAATAGCAACTGTTGACATTCTCCTCAAATACGTGATTGGATATGTCCACAATGCACGTGCTCAATCCCGCACTCTATTGTTCACGCTGACATATTTCTAGGCGATCTAGCCGGCTATAGATTTTTTTGTTGTTATTGAATGAAAAAAAAAGGAGAACCGGGATAGCTTTCGAAATGCCTCTACACAGAAGATATTGTTTGCAAAAGATTATTCAGTTAAATCCGATTAATATGATTAGTCCTAGCTCAAACGAAGTAAATAATATACGTCATGGAGAATATTTTTATCATTAGAGAGCTCAGTAAGGTAAAGCAGTGCTGATTTTGTATACTTTATTGATGCTATTCTTATTTATCACTAAATACACATATCCATAAATACGTGTCCCTTGAGTCACTTTCTTTCAATGCTCCATAACTTCTCAAATAAAATGATTTTTAAAAGTTCAAAATAGAATTTTATTGTCATGCATTGAAGATACTAAGTTAATTTTTACATTATTTTATTACCAGATTTTGACTTTGAATAAATTTTTTTTTTAAAATAATAAATGATTTTAATTTTTAATTTTAATTTATTTGTCTGGTAGTACATACATATTTCATAAATTTCATAACATAACAAAATTATAGAAACTTTCTCAATTGCTAATTTTGGTGCTACCTTCACCATCGTAACGTTTTATCTTGGATATTGGAATCCAAGAATCATATAAGAGAACATACTAACATTAAGTTATAATATACTGAGCATTGCATTTACATACAAATTGCAGCTGCGTCGAAAAAAATATAAAAGAACAAATATATAAATGTATTCATATACATACATAAAATATACACTATGTATAAAGTAATTTTTAAAAACTACGGAAGTAGTAACCATTTCACAATATAAATACACGAAGTACAATTAGTATAGTTGTACCTTGTGCCACTCTATATAGTAACTTGGACTAAAATTGTATCTTAGGCAGAATTTGTTGTAAAAGGAATTATAATTATTGTTCAATAATAAGTACCACTTATCTACACTGGTAACCTAATATGCCATCATGTGATCTGTTGAAAGCACAATATATTACACTAGCGATCAGTAAATTATCTTCTATATACTTCTTCATTAGAAACCATGAATCAAGGATTTATGCCCACAGAAGACATATTTTGAAATTATATAAATGTACCTTGGGCCGGCTCTAAATGTAACTTGGGACTAATCATTTTGAGAATGTTTATGTAATTTTTGGATTAAAAATTATTACATGGAGTAAAGAAAAATTCAGATCCTTCTTCATACATAAATTTAAAAAAAAAATGTACACTTTAAAAAAGTCACAAACTAAAGTCCCATAGGTAAATGGGAAATATTTCTAAGCTTCCTGGATTGGACGAAGCGGCACTAAATCAACAATGATATAGAGACAAGAACAACTACATCGGAAACCCACAACCACAATAGCGAACCTGGGAGACAAACACATAAACAAACAGGAGGTTCTGAAAACACGCCCCTTTTAGGTTGACCTCATTTAATAAATTAATTGTGCCAATACTATTCTATCTACTATCCCACACAAACAGCAACTCCTGGCAGGGTGATAAACCTTAGCAAAATATATCCACCAAGCTTGAAATAACTTTGTTTTAACTCAGATGCCTTCCGATGGAACTACCGGCTTCAGACTAATGTAAAAAAAAAAATACATTAACAAAATAAATAGTTTGTATCACATGTCAATACTATCCTTTATTAATAAATTTATTTCCAAAAATAAGTTCAGTGAATCTCATTCATCCATATCCGATGAATCTTACCGAGATTCACTGGATTGGAAAAATATTGACTAGGACATTTTGCAAAGAAAAATACCGACTTAAACAGCAAAATAAAATGTAGTATAGTTAATGAAGTATTAATGTAAATAGCGCTAATTACCAGAGATGGGCAAATACTATTCTGATTACTGAGTACCAAGTATTTTACTTAAATATCGACCTTTTTTAAACAGCAAAGAATTTAATTAATATTTCAGGTGATGTCAAATGATTAACTGAAGTAGTGATTGAATTCCCAATAGTGATTCAGTTTGAGTAAAATACTTGGTACTCTGTACTCAGGTTAGCATTTGCCTATCTCTGCTAATTACACTAAACTACTTGTATTGAAGTAAAAAAAAAGGTATTTAGCAGTTAAGTGCTAAATATGGTCACAATCATGCTTGCGTGAAACCTGTACTAATCTCGTAATTGTGTGAGGAAGGTTATTATCATATTTCCATCTTATGCTTACTGCTTATATAATTATATTATTATATAATAGTAAGATGATAATGTGGATGGGATCCGAGAACTTTGGGCGGAAGAAAGCAAAAACCTTCTTCATGAATGTTGAAAATCTATTGAAATTCTCAGTGAATAATTTTCTTAATTTTTTAATTCTTCATAAATTAGAATTACTATAAAAAAAAAAATCTGACGTGTCACCACTCATACGACTTTTCTACCGATTTCAGAAAAAAATTATATCCTTAAATATATACTTACCTTATATATATATATATATATATATATATATATATATATATATATATATATTATATATATATATATATATATATATATATATATATATATGTGTGTGTGTGTGTGTGTGTGTGTGTGTGTGTATATTAAAAAAAATAATTTTCCTGAAATTGATAAAAGAAAATGTTTGAGTACGATTTTTTTTGATAAACTAAACCAATGTAAACCGGTTTGTGGAAGATCAGAGTAACAAAATCAATACGCTCTAATATTGCTACTCAAAAACGTGTTTGCCACAGCCCAATTTTGTCAGACAATGATTTGTATGAACAGTAGAGAGGAAAGTGAAGCTTGAGTGATGCAAGAACCAGATTTTTTTCTGGCACCGGTATTTGAATTCATCATCTCACATAACTGTAAGCAGTAACTTCGTTAATAGTTGTCCAAAATGAACAACAATTTCATTACCTTTCGTAAAAACAGGCTAAACAGTATTATTTCATAAGGAGCACCCACACTGCGTCACAGGCATCAGTAGTCAAAACCCTATAAAATACAAAAAGAAGCAACTAAATCGGTAAACTAGTTCTCGAGATAATCTTGGCACAGACAGACAAACAGATATACCAATGGCTGGAATTTTGTTTTTTTTTTTTTTTTACTCTAGGAGCTCTGAAACGTATAGATCCGTCGAAAACCACATATCTGAAATTTAACCCGATCGCAATACCTTCCTCACATAATATAGGTAGGAAATTAAAAAATACACAATAGTTAAATTGAGTCTTATTAAACAAAATTTAAATGACAGTTATGAAAGCAATGTAAATTAATATAAGTACAGTTTTATATTTATTACTTCTGTTAACATCTTGGTGGAAACCTGATTGTTTAAGGTTTTATACATTGTACATTTTTTTCGTATAAATATGAGTGTGTTTTTTTTTCTGAACTAAAATACATTATTGCACAAATACTTGCCATATAAACTAACCAATTACATATTAATGCTGTTTTATTAAATTTTGTATAAAGTAATAAAAAGCTTAATTATGTGTAATATTTTAAATTTAAATTGGTTGAATGGACACAACAGTATCTATAGCAACACTGCAAATACCTGTGAGTGCAAAAGACAAAATTATTTAAAACACCGAATAAACCGTGTAAAACTTATTTTATGATGTAGATTTTTTGTTAATTTTTTATTGCATTATTAAGAGGAAGATATAATGTTATACATAATGTTTTTAGTTTGCTTTTATAAACATGTTCGAAGCCATGATTAACTGGAAAAGCTCAAAACTGCATACTCTAATTAAATTGCACTTACAGGCTTTTACAGTGTAGCCTTCGATATTTAATCTAAAAAAAAAAAGAAATAGAAAAACCATTATTCCAAAGGGAGGGCGATTTGAATAACAGTACTGTAGGAGAAAGCTAAGAGACAATGGTCTTATTAAGGTAAGCCGCTGCAACTTGGGGGTTGGGGAAGAGGGGGGAGGGTTAATTGGCTGGCTAGGGCTCACCTGTCTTATCCGGGCTAATTTAATTATTAATTAGTTAGTTGGTTAATTAATTTCATACCACAACGCCTCACTTAGTTAGGAGCTTAATGTATGGGGTGGCCCTCAGCGAGTTGTCACTGTCTCATCCAATGCCATCAACATCAGCTAACCGATGGGCGGCCGAGGCCCCAGGAGTCAACTGATGATTGAGAATTTTAGATGAATTCATCGAAAACGGGTAATGCCATACGCACAATAATATTGTGATATTATTTTCATAAAATAAGTTACATACTTTTATGTATCGAAGATGCTGACGTGTGAATTGAAATATATTTCATGAACTAAAAATAAATAGAGTCGGTCTACTAAAAGAATATTAAAACTAAGGTGTGGGCTTTAGACCAGACGGTAGAACTGAAAACATCAACGAGGCGAGATTAATAATATGAAATATAAATTATAAAGGAATTATAGAGTTAGTCGATTGTTCTACATATCATGGGTGATAAATAGTCAGGACGCAGTCATTTTTATGATTTTATTAGAGCCAATGTTCCAACCCAAACATGTGAATCTTCATCATGGCGTGTTTGGGTTGAAACATTGGCAGTAATAAAAACGTTAAAAATGACTGCGTCCTAAATATTTATTACCCAATATAAAGAGGATGAAATTCTGAACATTTCCCTCACTTGCAGTATGCAGATCCGATTTTTAGTTTCTGAGATAATTTAACCTATATGCAAAAACACTTCAATTATTCGACGCCAGCCGATTTTACTGGAGCGTTACACATAGGAGATCTGACGGATCAATCTAACTCACCCTCCACAAAAAAGTTCGAAATGCGCCTAAAGATGTTGTAACTTCAATAATTATTACGAATATAGAATGTTGCATTCTCGAATTCCTGAGACCTACCCGCTGCGTATCGAGGTATGCCACAAAAGACAAATTTGGCTTATTTAATAAGACCAAAAAGGACCCGAGCACTTTTAAAAATTCTAATCAAAGAGAGGAAGATGAAGTAACACCAATCTGGAAAAATGCACAACAGATTGGAAAGCAAAAAAAAATATGTGGGACAAACTATTAATATCGAGTGACAAATAGTTATGGATAGAACGAGGATTCGGTTAGGAGAGTTCGAATCTGGTGTTGGAGAAGGGCATTGAGGGCTGGATGAGTCCATTGCGAGAGTTGTTTAGAGAAGTATCTCCAGCCGGTGGTGTCAAGTAGGAGCTTGGGAACAATACTTAACTAAGCCTACTTAGTTAACGATAGAGGAGGCAGTCAAGAAGGTACATCGAAATGACATTAATGGCACCACAGATACGGAGAAGATGAGTATTCCACCACATTCCTATAATGGGCCTACAATCAGTTAAGGAATAATAATATAACATAAAAAGTAAAAAAAAAAGAAAAAAAGTAAAGAAAATATTAGTTAACATACTATGTTCAAAATAAAAAAATCTATATACAAAACAATTGAAACCGTGACAAGACACGTAAAACTATGTACAGTGGTAAAATATAAGTATACACTTTAAAGAAATAAATAAAAAATACATTACATTCTTCTTAGCAATAAAATCTGTATTCTGCAGAAAAAAAGGAAAAGAAGACGAATCTGCCAGTAATTATTTTAGTGATGAATTAAATGTAAATATATCATTATGTGAATCATTTTGAATAATATCTAAATTTACATAGAAGGTTAGCGGAGGGTTTCTGACCGTTTTTGGGATAGAAATTGGAATAGGAGGGTTTTAAATGTAGATAGGAAGGAAAAATGCTTAATTTTGATAGGAAGGGAATTCCAGAAATTAACATAACGAGCAATAAAAGAGTTTTGGAACGAGGTAGATCTGTGACAAGGAGTGCAAAGGTCGGAAGGTCGAGATCTTGTGAAAAGGTAGTGGACTGAGGACTTGAATTGGAGAAGGTTGTAGGCGTAAGAAGGACGATGATTGTTGATGATTTGATAGACTAACGTACCTAGGAAATATTGTCTTCGAATGGAAGAAAAGAGCCACTTTAATTCAGTATAGTGGTGAGACACTTGGGAGTATCTCGGGGCACCAATTATAAATCTTACGCAGCTGTTCATAAGTACTTAAGGGGGAAAACCTTGCGGTTGAACTTGATCTCTGTCAAATCATCTCTTGCACAACCGCAGACCTAGAAACTGTATTTTCAATAAAGAGTATTGAACCCAAGGACATTCATGAGATTTCATGGTACAGTTTTAGTTTTTGTTTCTTCAGAATCTATTAATATGATATATGTATTGAGATACTTTTTGTTTATCCTGTTGTTCTAAATACACATTTTGATTATTGATAGATAAAATACATTTGAATTTGAGATGGTTACTAACCCGTCTATGAGCGGTACCTCGTGGAGTATCCTCCTGATTGCCTGGATCCGGACCTCGGGTTGGACGTCCTCCCCGCCAGCGGAGAGTGCCAATGCCAGCCCGGTAGCCAGCGCTCCAACCAGCAGCAGCGTCAGGCACACGCCTACCCACGGCCGCAGCACCCCTGTGTATGCAAAATACATAATTAATAATAAAGTAAAATAAAAAAAAAATGATACTACTAAAGAAAACGTAGCTATGCATAGACATTTAACAATGAAAATAATACGGTAAACGCTCCAAGTATGATATTGTAAGATTAGTTATGGCACCATTGGATATTTTTTTCAAGTGAAATCGCTCGAGAATTGACTCACAACAACTTTTGCTATAAAATATTACATAAACAATAAAAACATTACATTTTTATTTTATTTTTTACATTCCCTACATTTAACATTACAATTTTTTTTTTTTAATTTTTACAACTCTAGCCATAAGTCGTCAACAAAAATAAGTCTTTGCCATCTTCTTCTATCCTGCCAATCTTCTTCACGCATGCCCCTGTTTATCATTCCTTCCTCAACTCCCTCATACCAGGTTCTCCTTGAGCGATCTTTCTTCTGTCTTCTTTTGCGGTTTCCAATTCCAAATTCGCTCAGGCCATCGTCCTTCTTTCGTCCTCATCACATGTTCATACCACTTGAGCCTCATAACAGTTTCAATGGAAAAGAGGATTTTCTCCATTTGTGTTCAACTCATTTTGTGCTGCTTCTTCCAAAAATCTATAGTTCCGAGAGCCAAGGAAAGATGATAATATAATAATTTTCAACTCGTTTCCATATTTTTCTGTTAGAAACTTTTTGAAGGAGAGTAACACCACATGATCGCTTCGAATAGTCCATTTCTAGGACTAGCAGTCTTTTTTATTGACTATCGTCAACAATTCAATTCATAAAAGGTGTTTTAATACAACTTGGGGTACATTCTTAATGTATTATCGTGAAAAGTAGTCAGCAACAATTTTTTTTTTTTTTTTTTTTTTGACTTGATTCTTCAACTCACACCTGTCAGAAGTTCCGACAATCAGCGAGTGTGATGTCAAGATGAAGAGATTGGTCTTGGAATAGGCGTGAGGGAGAGGAGTACCCAGCGGCGTCCTTCCTGTCTTGAGCGTAATATTTCTAGTTAGTGGAGGAGATCCCTCATCCAGCTTCTTTTAAGCCTCCTTCGGGTGCTATCGGGCATGTTAGTTGTGGCCATGCCTCGAATCAATGAGTTTGTATGTCCGTGTAGGTTATTATGGAATCGTTTGTAGTATGTTCGTATGTGGTCGTTAACTGTTGGCATCTGTAAGTCTTTATGTAGAGTAATGTTACTGACGTACCAGGGAGCTTTGGTAATAGTCCTGAAAGTTTTAGATTGAAAAGTCTGTAATTTACGTATGTGAGTCTTTTTGGCTGTCCCATATATCTGTAAAGCGTAGGTCCAAATAGGCTTGAGTAGGTAAGTATATGTATTCAATTTCTGTCTAAGTTTTAATTTCGAATTTCTTGCAAGGAGTGAGTACAATAGGCGTAGTCTTAGGTTTAAAGTTTTTGTTTTGTTTTTGATATGTTGGCCCCATGTCATTCTTCTGTCAAAGGTCAGTCCAAGATATTGAACTTTGTCTGTCTGAGGAATTTGGATATTGTCAAGGTAAATAGGGGGGCAAGTTTCACGTCGAAGGGTAAAAGTGATATGTTGTGATTTGTCAAGGTTGAGTCGAATTTTCCAGAGTTTGCACCAGTCGTAGAAATTGTTTAGGTGATATTGTAAAGTCTGTGAGGCGTATGCTGAATTTTGATGTCTTGTCAAGATTGTTGTATCGTCTGCGTAAGTCGCGGTCAGAGTATAGAGAGGATCTGGAATATCATATGTGTAAATAATATACAACAGAGGAGCGAGTACTGACCCCTGAGGCACCCCTGCTAGGGCTGGTTTAATGGTAGATAGTTCTGTACCTTGGCAAACAGAGAAAAATCTGTCAGAAAGAAAAGATTGAAGAATAAGATAGTAGGTTGGAGGGAGTATAATCTTAAGTTTGAAAAGAAGTCCCTGATGCCAGACTCTATCGAACGCTTGAGCAACATCCAGAAATACTCCTGTTGCATATAATTTGTGCTCTAGTGCTGTCGCAATGTAGTCTGTCACTCGGTGTAGCTGATGAATGGTTGAGTGGTGTGAACGAAATCCAAACTGATGTTCAGGTATTATGTTTTCAGTAGTCAGTATGTCAAGAAGTCGTTTGTAGAGAAGTTTCTCAAAGATTTTAGAGCATAATGGGAGCAAGCTGATGGGTCTGTATGATGAAGGAAAGTCAGTGTTTTTGTTAGGTTTGTGAATCATTTTTATGAATGAGTATTTCCATTGTAAGGGGAATTTAGTCGTTCTGAGTATTGCGTTATAAATTGATGTTAGGTATACTAGAGCTTTCCTTGGCATTTTCTGGAGCACTTGAGCATTTATCAGGTCATGACCGGGAGCTTTCTTTTTAGGTAACTGTCTGATTTGTTCTGCAACTTGAGTGGGAGTGAAGCAAAGTGGAGGTAATGACAGTTGTAAAGGAATGTCTAAAGTGTTTTGTACATGTCTTTCGTGATCAGTATTAGAGAAGTCAGTATGTGGTATGAAAACAGAAGAAAGATGGTTGGCAAAGAGCTCAGATTTTTCAAGGTCTGACACAGCCCAGGAACCATCTACGTTTCGGAGTGGTGATGACACCTCACAATGCTTTACAAGTTTCTTAGTCTGTCTCCATAAGCTTCCATCGTCAGTCGAAAGATTTTTGAGGTAATTGTCGTAGTTCGTTCTTTTAAAATTCTGAATCTGTCGTTTAAGTTCATTGTTAAGTCTATTGAAAGTCCGTTTGTCAGATGGAAGTCGACCAGTCTGCCACACTTTGCGCGCTCTTCTCTTTGCTCTGATCAGGTCTCTAATGTACTGCGGATAGATTGGAAGAGACGTATTTCTGCTAGGTCTTGGTACAGATGATGACCATACAGCCTGTTGTAAGCTGATTGTGAACTTATCAACAGCTTTTTCGAGTTCCTCTTCGGTCTTAAGGGACATTGGGATTGATAGCGTCGAATTTAAGTAGTCGCTGTAAGCTTTCCAATCGATTATCCTATCTGTAAGTGTTGGTTTTTTTGATGCAGTACGAGGCTCATCGCATAGTACCAAACTGAGAAGAGAATGATCAGAACAAAGATCAGAGCTTGCAGTTACAGTATACGGCACTGTCCTGAGTCCTTTAGTAATGAAAAAGTCAAGTAAATCTGGTGTTTTCTGTCTTGAAGTTGGCCAGTAAGTAGGTGTATCAGGTGAGATCGTGTTTAATGAAAGCTGATCGATGGCAGACTTTAGATTTCTTCCTCTAGGAGTACAGAGTCGTGATCCCCAGGACTGATGTTTGGCATTATAATCACCACCTGCAATAAAACACCGACCGAGATGTTGGAAAAAATTGTAAAACATTGCAGATGTTAGCACGTATCTCGGAGGGCAGTACACTGCAGCGAAGGTAATGGTATGGTGCTGGGTATACAGAGTAATTGCTGTGGATTGTATGTCAGGTGTAATGGGTAATTGTAAAGGGTTGTGTTTTAGTGATTGCTTAATCAGTATTGCCGTACCGCCATGTGCCGTCTTATCAGGGTGGTCAGTTCTATATATTTTGTAGCCTGGAATGTAAAATTTAGAATGTGGAGTCAAGTGTGTTTCAGTGATGAGAGCAATGTCAGTCCGTTTTTCATGTATGTACATGTCAAGTTCAGTCCTGTGTTGGTTTATACCATTTGCGTTCCAGAGAAGAACGGACATGGAGCCCACTGTCAGCCGATTAGTAGCCATAACTGGAGGATAAGGCTTGTGCAACGTGAGACAGTTCTTGGAGAAGGCTGAAAAGAGGCTGGATGAGGTTATTCAATCCACTTACCAAGTTGAAGAGCTGAGCTGAAGCCGGGTGATTGTAAGTCGGTAGTGGCGGTTGAGTAATGCCCTTTTTCATTTCTGGATGCTTTGGCTGGTGAAGGTGATTTTCTGGGACTTCTGTAGGAGAAGTTCGCAGTTTTGGTCCTAGATATTGAGAATCGGGTTTTGAAGAACCTGAATTTGCGGTATGCTGACTTTGCGGAAGAGAAGGAAACTCGTCTATACCTGGGGGTGCGCTAGTTTGTGCTTTTTGGGGACTTTGTATATTTTTACGGAGATTGCGTACTTCCCTCAGTTGTTTTAGAGTTGCACAACCTCTATAATTTGCTGGATGGGATCCGCTACAATTCGCGCATGTTGCTGCGGTCTCTCTTGTCTTTGTGCAGACGGTGCTATCATGTCCTTGGCCACATCTCACGCACTTCGGGGAGTGATTGCAGTAAGCCTTTGTGTGGCCATACTGCTGACAACGGGTGCACTGTGGAATCATTCTTTTCTTTCTTGGCTCTTCGATTTTCACTCTAGTATAGTATAAAAATTTGATATCAAAAATTTTTTCATTAAATGTGGCTTTAGAGATATCGATAAAGAACATGGGAAGTGGATTTTTGTATCTGGAAATAACGTTCACAATACTTGTGGCATCGTAGCCTAGGCATTTTAATTCGTATTTTATGGTTTCAATTGGAGTAGCATGGTGTAAGTTTTTTAATACGATTCTTGGATTTCTATCTTCTATTAACTGATAGGTATGGAAATCGGCACCTACCTGTCTTAAGTTAGCTACTATACGTCTATATGTGTCAGAGTTTTCAGGATATACGGTTACTCCTCTTGATGTGGATTTTAGGTTAAAGCTGTTCAAACCTCCTACATTTTGGAGAAATGTGACCAGTTCGGTGTAGTTCTGTACATCATTCAAGTGGATAGGGGGCGGTTTTACAGAAACTGGTTGCTTAGTGGTAGCATCAGACTCGTCACTAATGTTAGTTAAAACTTCAAAACTATTAGTGGTTACTGTTGTAACTTCACTTACCTTTTTAGCTTTTCTTGGGTCTCTGTTATTGTCCATTGAGCGTTTTCTTCCTGTAACGAGTTCCCAATTATTTTCAGTAGTTTGGTTTGAGTTTAAAGCGTCCACATTTTCTGTAGAACTGGCAGATATCGACGTCTCAGGCATCGTTTGCGGTGAAACCGCTACACCGAGGTGTGGAGTTCCTATTTCTTGGAGCTAATTGGTTTCAACAACAGAATGCAACAAAAAGAAAAGTTTTCACTGTTAATTTATTCTAAGATTTTGTCAAAAAGATTTTCAAAGAAAAATTAACCTCACAAAATTAACAGCAACAATTTAAATTACAAAATTGATGACTATTACATATCAAACTTTACCAGTCCTATTTTATTACTACATACAAATAGAAAAATATATTTTTACATGCGTTATCGTTATTTCTATATATTAATTCAATTTAGGTTAATTACTCGACCAAGCAACAGGGGGGTTATTTTTGATTATACCATTAATAATATATTATGATAGAAAATATTAAAAAATCAACTTTATTCTGGAATGTTAAAGTTCCATAAGAGTAAAATAACAAACACAACTAATTTTGAATTTTGGCCATAAGACTGATTACATGAGCAGAAACTAAAATAAATACTAATAACAATATTGATAAATATGACTTTAAAGAGAACAATAAAACATAATTAACTTTAATGAATAAATACACCTCACTTAAATACAATTTCTTTAGTGTAAGCGGACATTTGAACGTTTAAAAATGACGAATAGATCGAAACATAACAAAATCAAGAAATATTTTAAAAAATTAAAATCTTTGAAATCTCAATTTTTTGTTAATTGTAGATCTATTTAAGTTATTTCATTATACAATACCGAAACGATAAGAAACCGCTCGACGTTTCCGATTACTTCAGCACTTACTAGACAAACGCTCTAAACTTGCAATTAATTACAATAGGCTCATATACATGATTATAATAAGGGCTATTTAGACTTAGGGAGCTTAGCTCCCAATTATATCCAATCCTTATAATCCAAAATCCTTCTTAAAATCCTCAATGCCCCCTACTTTGTTAAAAATAAAACCATCCACAATGACCTTAATGTTTCTTATGTTTCAGATCTGGTCCAATCCAGATACCGATCCTTCCATAATAAACTTCAGAATCATCCCAACCCTCTCTCTTCTTACCTTGCTTCCTCTTCAATTCCTGATAACCCTCCGAGGCGTCTGAAAAGTGATGGCAACGTGATCACCTAATGTAAACATATCAATAGAGTGCTACCATAGGGTAGTTACTCAACAAGTGTTTTCACGTCATTATATCCATATGTTCATATTTACTAAATGTATTTCTTTAATACAGTTGTAAATATCATTAAGAAAAAAAAAAGTTATTTCGTTAGGTTATTTTTCCCCCATATATATATATATATATATATATATATATATATATATATATATATATATAATATATATATATATATATATATATATATATATATATATATATATATATATATAAATATATATATATATATATATATATATATATATATATATATATATATATATATATATATTTGGTTTGAATCGACCAAACTGCCAAATAATCAAGATATGTTTCTTTCCCATGTTCCGTGGAAAAGAGTTGACTTATTGCAGATATAGCTGTTTATATTGTGGAAAAAGCTTTCCAAGAGAAGCTGCGGAGCTTATGGAAGGAAGGAGATGTGATCTAGCGGCTCATCCTCCCTCCTTCCCCTCCCAGGAAGTTACCTCCAAAGCCGATTACTTAACGGTCTGTTCTTATCCGACTCCCGTCTTGTCATTGGCCGGCTTCATATCTCTCAGTCCTCCATTGGCGAATATTCTTTTCTTTATTATTTCCGCAAATGTTTGGAAACCCTGGAAAACAATCGAAAAGCTTATCTATTGTTTCCAAATACGCTCCGTTGAAAAATAAATATGATCATTTGGAGAGTACTTGGTTTCAAGGTATTTTTTTTTTTTTAACCATAAATTCATACATGGATTCGTCTTTCTTTAGACCAGACAATTTAAAGTTACTTATTAATCAAAAAAAAAATTAAAAGGGGTTTTAAAGGGAGATAAATGCTTAATGTGAAAGGGACCGTTTATAAGTAGATTTGAGAATTCAAGAACTCATTTTTTATTTTAATACTTTTCGTTGCTCAAAGTGTGAGAACCATACATTTACAAGAAATCAATATATGTATATATTGGCTTCTAACTTCGTCTTCGGGCTTTCTATTATGGATTACAGATTTGTATACTCTTTTACCCAACCTTTTTCATATTACTTTTGCATCATTATTATAAGATCCATACCTCTTAAAACAAAAGCAATCGACAGAAGATGAAATTTCAGAATAAATATTAGTTACAATTTAAGCCGAACCTAGACCCTATTAAAATTGAGTGTTCTAGTGGTGATATTTAACGCAAAAATAAGTTTCATGGCTATAGCACATTTAAGAGGTTTACAACAAAGCACAATACCCTTAAAGAAGCTGTTTTTCCAAACGGCCAACGGTAGGAAAAATAAGAGTATTTAGCTTCCAGATTTTCGGTCAATGGACACCAACTGGTTAATACTTAAACAACCCAATGTAAACAATAAATATTTTTTAAATAATCAAATGTAAATAATAACGGTATGGTATGTAAATATCTAACATACATTCAGTATTTTAATAAGTTAGCATAACTATTTATTCGTTAGGATTTATAATTTTAATTAACGTTTTAAAATTTATTTGTGATGCTGAAAAAGCAATCATTTTACTTGAACAAAGGAAGCTTTGTATAAAATATTTGATGAAAGCTATGTTTAATTATCAATAAAACAACAAAGTGCCCTTATTTTTATATTTCGTAATTAAATAGGTTGTTTCCACGATATTAAACAGGAAAACACGACTAGTAAATACAGTATTAACTCAAAATTATTTATAGTATTACTTTCATTTCGGGTTAACTCCTTATAAATTGCTGGACCGTATAATGATTTAGGTAAAAATAAGTTCGTATATAAATATTACGTATCGGAGATGTGCAATGCGTATCCTTGTATATTATTTCGCACAGGTAATTTTTATTTAGATAGACCATGTTTTTAATTCTTCATATAATCCATTTTTAAAATTATCTATTTCATCAGGGGACAAAATCAGAATTTCTAATAAAAAAACTTTAAAAACTCAAAATTCATGGTTAAATAATTACTTAAAATCTTACTATATTCCCTCTAGAAGAAAAAAAAATCCATCAAAATCAGACAATTATAATACAAGATACATCTTATTGCATTCTGTGCACATGTTTTGATTTATTATGATGAATGAACCATCGTAATCTATTGCAGTGGTTTATTTGAATCGAATGTTAAGGAGTGTAGCTGGAAGTAACTGAACTCAAAATTACTTTGCAAAGCAAAAACTCAAGACATGTCTGCAGCATGAAAAAGGACATGGATCTGTTTTTTTTTATTATTATTACTTAATGATATGTACAACTGTATAAAAGAAATACATCTAGTACATTTGAACATATGGATATAATGACGTGAAAACTCGTTGTGAGTAACTATCCACTGGTAGCACTCTAATGATATGTCTACATTAGGAGATCATGGAGTCATCTTCTTTTCAGACGCCTCGGAGGGTTATCAGGAATCGAAGAGGAAGCAATGTTAGAAACCAGAGGGTTGGGATGATTCTGAAGTTTATTATGGAAGGATGGGTATCTGGATTGGGCCAGATCTGAAACATAAGAAACATTAAGATCATTATGGATGGTTTTATTTGCAACAAAGTAGGGAGCATTGAGGATTTTACGAAGGATTTCGGATTGTAAGGATTGGATACGATAGGAATTCGATGGTTTAGGGATCCCCATAGCTCAACTCCGTAAGTCTAAATAGGCCTTATTATTAGTCTTTTGTAATTAATTGGAAGTTTAGAATGTTTGTCTTATAAGTAATCGGAAACGTCGAGCTGTTTCTTGTCGTTACAATCTGGTATGAGGAGAACATGGATCTGAAGGTATTAGAAGCTCGAATAACTGAGAGGAGACAAGGAGGGCGTCTCCGAGTTGCACAGAATTAGTAGTAGAAGAGGCAAATCCCTCAACCGAACGAAGAGACTTCTCGACAATAGAAATCATATCTGCAGAAGTTAAAGAAAAAGAAGAAGAAATATTGCAATCGACAAGGGAAACATAAATCAATCTCATAATAACACATCAGATTACGTTATTTCAATATTTTTTTTTGTCATTTGTTCACTTACCAAAGCACCAATGTGAATTTTTCACGCGTGTCGACTATGAATTTATAAAATATGAGTATCGGGAAAGGTTGTGAATTATTATGATTTACTTTGATAATCATTTTCGAAGTAGTTTTCACATTATTTTTGTTCAGGACTAATAAAGAAAAAAAAAAAGCATTTTGAATTTTTTGTTTGTTTTGTTTTGATACTGTGAGTTGAAAGGCTAGGGGGATGCGCCTAAAGCCGGATAGCGGCACGGGGCCCGACAATGGGAGGGAATGTGTCAAAGTGGAGCATGAAATGATGCTTTACTGCAGTGGCCCACGGCTCGCCTTTGTACATCCGAGCTACTAATTGAAGTACTGCAATCCGACAACATTCTCAATACAGCAACGTCATCTCTCCCTACACTCTCCAAACTAGCTACAGTATTGTACAAAGCTCAAACAAAGCATTCCTAAACCTTGCAGAATCAAAAACTTTTAGTATCTTTGTGTGATGGACCAAAGCATATCGTATCCTAGAATGTAATCTAGCCTTTACTACGGAGCAAAACATAAGTATGTGTTACGTAATAACTTTCTCAAGAACAATCAAATGGTAATAATATTTTTTTTTACTATTTTGTTGTGAGACTATATTAATTTTTTTTACTTATTAACTCTACACAATTATGGTAAAATATGACCTAAAATCAGAGGTGAGCTCATTAATGGATATCGAAAATTCATTAGACCGTTCTAAAACTTATTAAATATAATTTAATATAATTCCTTAAATATAATTCCTTTAATCATTGATTCAATCTCACAATAACTTCAGTGTAATAATTTTTCAAATTACTTAACATATTCGTATGCAGATAACTTACTATCACTTATTTTTTTTTCGTAACCCAACAGTTCAGTATGGTAAATATTTTCTTACGTATTTTTTTTATTTTTCATGTGCTCAATGACCTTCCAGAAGTATTAACTTTTCGCTAGAATCCAGACGGTCATTCCTAAATTCAGCATAAAACACTGTCCTTCGGAGTTAGATTCGATCGATTGGTACTAGTTATAATCGGATTAGAGCTGAGTTTATGAACTTGACATATCTACTGATAAAAGCAATCCGTAAATTGGCCCTTAGAATCGGTATTGGTGTTCATGACTTCCTCGGTCATCCGAAATTTTAAATGAGCATCTTCTCATTATCATATAACTTTATATTTGTTTGCTAAAGACTCTGATAACTCTAAATACTAAGAGAATAACATATTGAAAAAAAAGTTATATAAAGCATTAACTAGTGGTGACCATAAATACGAGAACTATTAAATCAATCAAAGCTACAAAAACATCTCGTTGGATGAAAGATATACCTGTGCTAGACAAATTGATGGACAACATCGAAGGGGTAGTAGTGTTTTCGTCGTTTTTGATGAAGCATAAATCGATGAGGCATTTGTTCATATGAATTTGTGTCTGATTCTAAGTTTAAATTTGGAAAATAGGAGAGTGTAGTGTTTTAAATCTCTTTACGAAAGGTTTCAAACTTTTCATTTAGACCAGTAAACAGTCCATAATTATTACAATTACCAATTTATAATTAATATGTAGATGTAGGAATAAATAAATAAATGAATAAAAATATGAGCGAGATGCTCTATAATCAATTAAATATTTTAGTAACAATCAGTAGGAGTTTAAGTAATTAAAATGTATAGCCAAAAAGGAAAGATTACTCAGATTTTAAAATATTTTTTTAATTTTTTTATTTCACTTGATCAATCTCCATCAACATCTGTAATTAAAGTGACACAAAGCAGAAGTGTTGTTATTGTTTGGAAAATGGCATTTCAGGCTTTAGAAAGGATAGCACTCAGCACCAACCCTTCCTGATCTTTGTTTGTTAATTTAGGAAAAAAAGATCTCTCATCCTGCTTCTTTTCAGTCACCTCTTAATAGGCATTTCTGCCATGGCTATAGTGACTTACTTACTGTCTGATGTGTGTCATGTATTATTTAATTCCAATTTTAACTTTAAAAGCCAACACTGTCATCACCACCTATGCCGATGACACGTGTATCCTATCAGTTAATAACGATCCATCTATTGCATCCCGAACTCTTCAATCACACATCACAAGTCTTGACAAATGGTGTCAAAACTGGACGATTAAAATAAATTCCAATAAATCCCATCAAATTACCTTCACTCTTCGTCGTAAACCTATGACTTCCTGTCCTACAGTATCCTTCAACAATAGCCCTCTTATCCCAGTCAAACAAATCCGATACCTAGGACAAACGACTCACTTGGAACCCCCATACCAGACTAAAACGACTAGAAACCGCCCGACGTTTTCGACTACTGCAGCACTTACTAGATAAACGCTCTAAGTATTCAATCAATTACAAACGACACATATATGTGACAATATCAGTTAAGATCTATTTGGACTAACGGAATTGAGCTTTGGAGCTTCACTAAACCATCGAATTCATCTTGTATCCAATTCTTGCAATCCAAAATCCTTCGTAAAATCCAAA